TAGTATTACGTCGTACTTAACGTATGTATAAAGTTATAAATAATATATATCTATAAATTGTAATACAATTATGTTTAATTTATTTATTTATTTTGACTCTTTAGATTAACAGCTTCATATTTTGGCAAATTATGCAAATTACGCGAATCTACTTCACGTGTAAATATTGTAAATGAAATGTTATTTGGAACTTTTAAAGGAAATGCAGCAACTCAGTACGGAATAGAGCATGAAATGATTGCCATCGAGCAATTGGAAAATAAAATCAATAAAAAAATTGTACCATCAGGGTTGATAGTAGATTTAAATCAGCCATTTTTAGCTGCATCTCCTGGTGGATTGATCGAATCAGATTCACTTGTTGAAATAAAATGCCTAGCAAGTGCCAAAGATATAATTCCAAAAGAAGGAATAAATAGTAAAATAATAAAGAGTTTTAAAATATTAGATGACAAATTGCATTTGAAAAGAACAGATAATTACTATTATCACGTGCAGGGCCAACTTCACATTACTCGCAGAATGTATTGTAATTTTTGTATTTGGACACCGAAAGGTATATAAGATATTTATTTACTAACTTATATAAATTACTTTATACTACTTAATTAAATTTATTATTTTATAGGATTTTTATTCGAGAAAATTAAAAGAGACGATGGTTTTTGGAATGAAAAAATGGCAACTCAGCTTACCACATTTTATATGGACTTTCTGTTAAAAAAGTTAATAAAAGATGAATATTAAAGTAAAATACTATTATAGTTTTAGTTTTAGAGGTAGGCACATTTATTTAAAAATGTCTTACCAATGATAAAAGTACAATAATACCTATATTTAATCTATTGTCTTACAAAAATATAAGTGTAACGAGTTATGAAAGTTTATACCTAATAAATATATAGAAATTAAATTTTTATAATTATTTTATAGTAATACATAAAATTATTTTTTATTTTTTATAACGATAAATATTTTGTAAAACTACTATATTGTATTTTATCAGTTTTGTAAACATTAACTAAAATAAATCATATTGTATCCCTACTATATGCAAAATCAGTGAATCACTAATTATAATCACAGATACCTGAAAAGTATCTATATTCTATACTATTATCATTGTAGGCCGTCAGTTCCGGGAATACGTAATGTGGTCGACATGCGGGCGGTGAGCCGCCCGGTGAAACGAGAACGCGATTATGAATTTTATGAATTACACACACGACACACTAATATTCATTTACTTCTCACACACTAACACAGCTTAAATATAAATGCTATATGAAATGCCTAAATATTACTCCTTAAAACATATCACGCTCCAGCCACCTTAAGGTATTATTTGTTTTTGCTTATGATTATGAAGTTATGAATTACCTATAATTAAAGAAGTTAATAATAATCTGTAGTTTTTTTTGTAGAATATGTCATCAACTTTTGATGCGTATAAACATAGTATTTCAAACGCACTAATGATCACTTAATCCATGGTAGTTACTACGCACACAAAAGCTTAGATAATTGCCTATAGCGAACTCCTTAAAAATTGAATCTTCTTAATAATGATGCATGTTGATATAAATTATATATAATTATATTTTTAATACTTACTGTCATTGCTTATTTATAAGTTGGCTATTATAAGAAAATATTATGTGTTAACACATCATTGTGTTGTTTGTATTGATTGTTGATCTGGATTCGTTATAATGTCTTATTAAGATCGGTCGACGATCATTCCACAGTTTCTATTTTAAATTCCGAATTTGAAAAATATTTCAACTAAATTTATAGATATTGTGGGAGGGGGGAGGGGGGAGTAAATTGGGAAAAGTAGACTGAAAAATCTCAAGTAGACATAATAACGAGTTCAAATCAGTTTTAAAAAGTATTATCGCATGAATAGGTAGATCGGTATGATTGAAAAGATTTTTGAATGTTTTGTTCAAAATAACTGTCCGCTACCCATCCCCTTATTTAACGATTTCAAATAGTGCCTGGCATTAGAGAAAGAAAAGTTCTACGATTTTGTAAATTGAAAATTTACTAACAAAATGCCCTTCGCATAATGAAAACTAATACCAAGTGAAAAGTTGAGTGTTTCTGCTTTTGTACCCAGGCAATAAAAATCGACATCCACAACTTATAATACCACAGCCAGTAATGTGCACGCATCAACATTACTTCGATTGACTTATGGAATTCTAATTTTGAAAGTTTGTACAATTAATATGATTGATATTTGCTTGTTTGACATTTCTAAGTCAAGCTCTTCCATTATCATGATAATTGTAATAATATGAAAATATATTTAACGTCAAAATGAAAATTCCCAAAGTCAATCGCAGTAAAATGTCTCTCGGTGAACACAATAATTTAAATTGTTGCTGTAATATCTAATAATAATATAAATGTATCTATATTACACTATAGAAGGCAGTAGCTAAAGTAGTACCTACATATTATTTACTAACTAATAATTTATTAAAAAATTAAAAATTAAACTTAAAATAAAATGGTATCCCGTCTTAAACGTCTTCCAATCAAAATGTTTACATTTACAATGCATACAAATTTAATATTTTTAATTTTAAAAATGTCATGTTATACAAGAAGTTAAATAAGCTTGCCTATATGCCATAATAGCATGTTATATAATTGTTTAACTGAATCACACTTAAAATACTAAAAAAATATTTTTATTTCAACTTAATAAGACTTATTAATGCCAATACAGAAACCTATTAAACCACAACCAATGTAATAGAGAAGAGTAGTACATGAAAGTAAAATGACTGCTAAATATAATATCCGTTTGTTGTACCTTATTAATAATAACACTTTTCACACTTCTATGCTAAACAGAAAGAGTTTGATTGATTAATTTAATTTAATAACCATCATTCTAGAATATATATCAAGCTGGTATGTACCAGTATTTGTTCACAACTTATTGAATACCTATCTAAAAATTCTACAACTTCTTTTGAGTGGATAGTACGACATATTTTTTTTAACACATTGAAGTATAAATTACAAATGGCTGATCAAGTTCTTTTAAATTTTAACCAATATAATTTGTTAACAGTAACGAAAAGTAAAAATACTTTGGATATTGTTACATCAACATTTTTAAAAATCAATTTTAAATACAGCAACAATTCATTAATATAAATAATCTGAAAGGTTTTTATATTATCGGTTACATTTCTATGACTCTGGAACCTCATAAAGGTACACTTTACTTAATAAGTACTATGATTCATATTATACACTACTTTACCTGTATTATTATGTATATTATAGGTTATAATGGATAGTCATAAAAGTTTTGTACAAACTTGAAGTTTGTATATGTTTTAATTGAATACAGTAAATATAGTTCTAATTTTTTATTTTTTAATAACTTTTTTAAATGTTACATTAAATAATACAATGGTTAATATTTCGTTTAAATACTGATGAAAATATTATTATAAAACCCATAAAACATGTAGTAAGGTATGCAAGTATAGTGATATATTATTATAATCTTAATAAACTCTACTAATAGGTGTATTAATTTAGTAGGTAACATACGTTTTGCCAATTATACAACAGTTCATAGCAATTATAAGTTTACAATGAATATTAAAATAGTTTATAGTCTAACCTTATAATTAAAACTATAAATAATAATCAATGTTTAACTATGACTTAGTATTTAAAATTCAAATTAATTAATAGATATTAAGTTTTTGCCTATATTTCTTAAAAAAAATGTAATATCTAAAGGCTAAATTCAATTAATATATATTGGTTTATTAAAAATAAAAATATTTCTATAAAAGGGGAGTTAAAAAGCTTCCATTCGATTTTTAGAATTTAATTAAAATATTAAAGATATTGTTATAATAATTTTATTGAGTAACTTACATAATATTATAGTACATTATTTTGAAGGAAAAACCCAAATTATCTATATATTTGTACTCACACAATTGATATTATTAATAGTAATAAAATTATAAGTACAATTTATTTTTTAATTATTTATAAATCGACCGCTGACATTTTTTAAAACAATAAATAATATACAATAACAAATATTCTTATACTTAAGAAGACACGTGGTTCGAAGATAGAAAAGAACTCACATCTTCTTAATGTTGTACAAATACAATTATTATATTTTACTCATGGATATTAAAGATATGGATAAGCTACAATTTAACTATCTCAAATTGTAAAAAAATGTAGGTATTTATTAATTTTACTGATCAGAAATTGTTACCAATATTGTTTAATATAATAATAAGGAATAAATTATTTCTTCAATTCAAGTTCCTATCATCGAGAAACCTCAATGTATAGTAGGATATACATGTATTATACATATCTGAAATATTGAATAAAAGATAATTTTATCTCAACCCATTTCTTTACTTTGAATAATTTATTTTTGTTACACTTTAATCTTTGAAGTCGAAAAAACAGTTATAAAATCATGAATATAATTATTATTTGTGTTTTTATTTAATTAGTTAATATTTTAAGAAAACAATTTTGTTGCTTTGAAAAATTTAAACACAATAATACATTTTTAATTTTTAATTTTATTCTATTATGTTTAATTATTACTTGATGAAGAAATAACTTAAATTAAATAATATTACATGTTTATTAGTAAATAATTATATAAACAATTGTTATTTAAGATGACCATAGTATATAAACTTCTTTATATTATTATATGATAAATTGATACATTTTAAAAATTAATTCCAGGAACATTTAAATGATTTATTATGGTGCGAGCATGTTCTGTGAGGTGACTAAAATAAGTTGAACTTATGGAAAAATAGTAATAATAAATGAACAAAATGTTTCAAAGTAGTTTAAGTTACTTTATAAGTAACCTAAAACTCATTCAACTAAGTAAATAATTTTTAAGATTACAAGTTGATAATATTGAATATAATTATTATAAAAATGATTCAAAAGAGATTCTGCAGTCATTTTAATTGTTATATTTATATTTTAGTTGTAAAAATTTCAATAATCCCATTTAAAATCATGACAACTAAATTAATGTATATTAATGGCATGTAATAAGATTAAAATAGAATAAATATAAAGATAATCTTATTTAAGGTTATTAGATATATATGTGAAAACCTAACATAGATTTGAATGGTGTGAAATGTAAAGGGATACTATTAATGGGCATCAATACATCTGAAGAAAGATGCATAGTGAATCAATTTTTAATTTTGTTGAACTTGATTACCATAGATAAATGAGTATCATCAATTAGGAGACCATGGTGTATTGGAATGCATTTGGATAGTGGTAGTCATAAAATCACTAGAAAACCAATACATTGTATTGGTTTTAGTGAATTCTAAGGTATTATACTCATATGTTTATATTTCACTAATGTGATATATGTCTCATGGCTCTAATGTGGATGCAGTTGTTTTCATTTGTTCTGCTGGTGCTCTAAAACAAATATTTTTTTAAAAATTATTAAAATAGTAAACATACATGCACTTATAAATCAACTTCACACATCAAAATTAATTTTAACATGAAAATACAAAATAGAACATTTCATTTTGACGTGCAATTCTTTGAATCAAGGTTAAAAAAAATTATTTCTACATTTGATATAACTGTAGTAAAATAAATGTTTGGTTACTACAGTAATGAATTATGAAAACTAAAACTAAAATATATCAAAATCCTATTTATCTATTTAAAGTGCATATTTTATAGGAAATGATTGAAGCTAATGAACTACCAGTATAAGCAGCAATAATACACTTTAAATATTTAGTTCAGTTTGCCTTAAGTGGGACGCCACACATCTGGATCTTCCATTAAAGTTGTGTGATGTCCGCCCATGGGTTGTGAGACGTTATCAACAGGAGAAGCAATAGCTCCCATATCTTCCCTAGATCCTCTATTTAGAAGTAAGTATTGTAACAAACACAAAACAAAAAGCCAGTGTTTTTAGAACAATAATAATCAAACACAAAGTAGACGAATATTTCATATCAACATATTTATATAGTCAACAAATAAAATATTTAGTTCAGACATAAATAAGAACTTACTTTTTCCCAACTGACATGAGACCATACAATAAACCAGTACAAAATACTAAAGCACTGGCTATCAATGTACTTGGACCAAAACATAGAAGCATTGGTATTAACGATAGCCTGGAAAATATATTAGATTTAATGCTGGATTGACCAATATTTTATAACATAATTATAATCATGCATTCAATAATAGTTAGTAACAAAATATTTAATAGATCAATTTTTTGTTTCTTACCCGGCATATAAAATAGCTCTAGTCCAGTAAGGTTTATTTTCAGCAACATCACTGACTTTCTGCATATAATCGATAAACACACAAAGAAAAGGTGCTTCTAATGCAATTAGTAACATACCAAGAAGCCTGCAATTACACATAAATTAGTTTATTTTAGGTATTAAATTGTGTAGAAAAAATTAATAATAACTACTTGATATACATACAATTGTATAATTCCACCAAATAAACAATCTGTGTTTAAAAAAATTAATCCCAATCCATTCCAAATACCAGTGAATAAATTAACTGAAAATAATAATATTTTACAGTTAATTGTAATAATTTTAAAAGATTAATAGAATTACAATTATTAAGAAATACAGGATTTGTCCTTTGTTATGATACATACCAATGCCTGCAAATGTCCCCAATGTTCTGCTACCATATTTTAGATGCCAAGGAATTTCATCCCTATTTTCTCCTTCATCGCTGGCTCTTTTCCAAAGATTTGTAACTTTATCTCCCATAGACTATCGGAAAAAAAATATTATTAAACTCAGTTAATTATTACATTGTAAATAGATGGATAAAATATGTACATGAAATTTAATATTATTTTTAATTATATTAAACAATTATAAATATATTTTTCAAGATTGTTTAACCATTATGTAATGTACCTGTGTAATATAATAACAACACAGACTATTTAAAAAAAAACAATCCTCAAATTATGATATAACATCACACTCTACTGACTTCAATAGATAGGTGTTATGTTACCTACATTCATTTTTATGACCAGATAAAATCAATATAGGTACATAATTCTAATTGTTATAACTGTTGTAAAAAATTTAAATATTGAAGTACAAACAATGATTATTTTTAATTAAATTTCTTTTTATGAAAGTACCTATTATGTAATATTATTTGTCAATTATTCTTTATTAACTTCATATTTCAAACAACATTGAAAAGTAATTTATCCTTATTTAGAACATACATATTTATGCTATTTTGCTATAGACAAAAGGAATAATTATTTCTATCCAAAAAAGTATAGGTATGTTATACCTACCCAATTGAAGTTAATTTCAATGCAAATATAATCAAAAAAAAGTTTCATACCCCTGTGGACATACATATTTTGTAATTATTGATTTAAATCAAAATGTATATTTTATTACTGATGTTTTCTAATTTGTATTCTGATATGAGAATGTTTTTTTTTTTTTTTTATTAGCTTTTAGTACTATTACAGCTCAACAATTATTTGAATATGAGGATGTTATACCGACGTGATGTGTTGTCTCCATCTCACCAACACAGAGCAAATTTTAAGTTTAAAAGTATCTATTTTACTTTGTTATTTTTAGTATCTATATGATATATACAATTGAAGTATTATAAAGTTTAAAGATGAAAATATTATTTAGGGTAGTTCGAAGGATTTTTTTTTTTTTGGTGTTTTATTTTTAAAGCAAGTTATGAACATTTTAAGATTGTAAACTGTAAATGCTCAAAACACAAAAAAAAAAAGGTGCTCTAAATAATATTTACTTTTACTTATAAATTGTATAATGAATCAATTAATTTTAATATTTAAAATAACAAAGTAAAACAGATTCTTCTTAATGTAAAATGCTCTAAGTTAAGCGTTAATAAGATGGAGACAGATAACACATACGTGTATAATTTCTACTTAATGTGCAATTTTCAATCAGTCTAATTTTATTAAAGCAAATAGTAACTAATTATATTTTCCAATCAACAAATATATTGATTTCAACCAAGTGTTACTCCCTAGGTTACTTTTAATAGTTGACACAACAGACACATTTTAAATAGGTACAACTAATATTCTGATCTTATTCATATCTTCATTCATAATGTTTAAAAATAATTTATAATCTTAAGAGAATAACATTTTTATTCATGTAAGTCAGCGATTCCCAAAGTGTAAGCCGCAATGTCTTTACAGAAGCACCGAGCTGCAATAACATTTTTGATGGTCCAAAATTTAATTTGAAAACTTTATGATGGTGGTGACGGAAAAAATTACGATTACGTTAATACAAATACATAAATTATTTTTATAATTTGAATTCAATAAATATTTTCAAATTACCCATAACAATTTTTTCTAGTTTTTATTAATTCTTTTAATTTCTTATGAAGGATCATGATATGAAATGGAAAAGGGAGCTCTGAGAAGACTTTAGTTTAAAAAGGGTACCGCTAGCCAAAACAGTTTGAGAACCACTAATGTTAGTAACTGAGAAAATTTAACACTATGAAAAATGTTAATCTTAAAAATAAAACTTAATCATTTAATCAAAAATCTGTTTTGTTCAAAATACTGTAACTGTAATAATATAAAAATAATAAAAACAAAATTCGCTAAAATTGATTAAATAAAAAGTAACCAAGGAATAAATGTACAAAATAGTTACATGGAAAATACTATAAAATATAATAGTATTTATACATTAAATTTCTTCATTTTCAAATTGAATTCCGACATAAAAAGGTATAATACAAATATGGTGGAAATGAGAAAAAAAATTTTTACTTGAACTTTTGTAATCATATTAATATCTCATTTTTATATTAAATTTCACTCTGATTAGTGATTAACAAAAACAAAAACCTACCAAATTTAATATACATTATTTACCAACTTTCACAGGATATTTTTGAAGTATTCCAACTAAAACAAATTATTAATTTCCTTTATATCATTTTAAGATAAATTCATGTGTAAAATAACAAAATATACAAATACCTAAGACAGCTATTAATTATTAACAAATGTCATATGTAGCTAATCTCAATTTAAGAAATTATTAATTGCTTATCAGATAACAGAATAATTAAATGTATTTAATTTTACTCCAATTAGTAATATAATTAATTTCTATTTATTGACACAGCTGTTATAATTGTTTCAAATTAAACATAATAAAAGGTTTTGAAAGTAACACCATTTCTAAATTTAATTATTGTTACAACCAGATAAAAATTTGCTAGTTAACCAATACTAACATAATTGTATATATTTCATTGCTAATAGTATAAACTAAAAAGAAAACTAGTGAGACGGCTTATAATTATATTGAATGTTGATCAATTAACTCTAACTACCTTAACTTGTCTATGATCCTGACGACTCTAACAAATACATAGATAATAATACAGAAATATAATAATAGAAGAAATGTAAACGTATTCCTTAGTATTACAATTTACAAACAACATCTGACCATTAAATTTTAGTGAAGATAGAAAAACATTTTGTTTAATAACATTGTTTACAAATTGTCCCATGTGGAAGTGACCGGCCGACATCATATAATAGTAAGCTTAAAGTAATGGAAAAAAACTCTTTAAGGGTGGAGGGGGTTAGTTTTTATTTTTTTAGTTATGAACAATTGAACTTTTTTTTAAATAAGCCCGATCTTAGCACACATCTCCAAAACTTTTCAACAGTTTATCATAATTTTTTTTTACATTTTAATGCTATTTTATTATAATATCAACTAACATACACAATAATCAGAAAAAAACAGAAATGTACAAATTATTTTTATTCAATTAAAAAAAAAATATTTGTCAAAAATTAGAATTTTGAAGGGAAATTGCAAATAACACTCTAAATAATGCCATACCCATTTACTATAGTTTTAACTTTTATTTTATTTTTCTGAAGAATAATACTACCTAAAATACCTAAAAAATTTTTTTTCATATTTTCTATAATTTATGAAAAATATGCTGTTAAACATAACACGACTTCTGTGATAATAATTATTGTCAATTGACAATTACTGTACAGAGTACATACCACTCAGAGGTAAAATGTACAAAACATTTTAATAGTTTTCTAGGTATTATTCTATAAGATAATAAAATAAAAAACCATTTTAAAAATAAAATGTTTCCAAAATTTAATTTATGTAACAATTCTCAATCTTATATTCTTATTTGAAGTAAAGCTCGAAAAAGGCATTTCAGAATTTTCACAAAAGATTAAAGGTTTTTTAACTGTATGACCAATATTTAAAAAATTAGTGTTAGTTTTAACTATTTTAAGAATGTAGTACCAACATTTTTATGAAATTCATAAAAAAAAACTCAAAGTAACAATCAGGGATAAATAATTTCTTAGAACATATTATAGGATAAAATTATATATATTATATATATACATTTATATATGTATATGAAAATGAAGGTATGTCTGTCTGTCTGTAAGTCTGTACGCCTCTTATGGCTGCCTAAATGGTTAGATGGATTTTGATGATATTTTTTGGGTGTGTTTAAGTGGTTCCTTGGATTATTAGATTGACAATTTGATCCAGTAGATCCAATCCAGAAAGTTGCTCAACCAGAGATTTTGGGATTTACGAAGGGAATTTTCGTTGATAAATAATGGCTAATGTTATAAGAGAAATAATAAGTAGAAATTAGTAATTTTTTTTTGTATATTGGTTGCCATTGGTTAATCGGGCAAATCAAGTACAAGTTTGCATCAAAAACATTTAATGAGGTCTGCAATCCATTACAGATGCATTGTCTACCTGATATTAAAATACTCACATTAGCACAAGTGAGTCCCAGGCATTTTTAAAGGGCAACAAAGTACACAGGATCAGCTAATAAACAATAAATTACACTTTTATAATTCGCATATTGACTACTTTTCGAACAATGTTGATTAAGATTCATTAAAAGGACACATTTGTTGTCTCCATTTTACAAATGAACAACTTGGTAACAAAGTTCACAATAATACATTTTACAATGTAATTTCTAAAATTAGACTAAATTTACCTCTACTAAAATTTAAAGACAAGAATATTATCTACGGTAGAGTTTCCCAAACCGTGGGTCGCAATTAGATTTTTAAATAATACATTTTTTAGACATGTGTTTCTATTACTTTTTGTTGATGTTTAAATTTAGTTTTATCATAAATCGCTACTGCGTTTGTGGCAGTTACGAATTCACTGTAACCGTGTCAACACGAAGCAAATCAGATTAGTAGTTATTGAAAAGATAGCAATTTATTGCTATAATAAATTCCTTGACAAAAATTTAGAATTAAAATATGCTGTTCTACAACTCTAAATCCTTATTTTTATTTTTTATTTTTTATTTGTAACAGCAAAAAAAGAAAAGGTCATTGATATTATTGTGGGCCTCCAAAATTTAAATAACCCATGATCTATCTATAGCAACTCATAGGATTTTTTTGATATTATTATTTTTAAGTAATTATGACCATTTTTAAACTGTACATTTTTAAATGATCATAACTTAACTTAACTTTAAGTTTGATAATAGGTCTATTTAGTCTAAAATAAAGATTTGTTGTGCTTAACAAAAGTTTGCTACATTGGACATGGGTTCTAGAGAAAACAATTAATAGTGCTAACATGCTCTGAAAAACGAGATTAATGATTTTATAAAGATATCAATGAGACAAGAAACAATATCAAACTCAAGACATAACTCACATAGTGAC